CGAGTGGGTTTCTTTATGCTAAGAATTTTTTTTCTGCAATTTCTTTTGGATTCTCTTTTTTTGTTTGTTTTTGTTCGATAATTTTCCTCTTAGTTAGGCTGACTATTTTCTTTTGGGTTCTATTTGTGGAGTCATTAGCTATCAAGGTCATCATTTTTTAGGTATTTTTCTAATCTCTCATTTGTTTACCCAATTCTACTTTTGGATTTGATTCTTGACTGACGGGATGTTGTGATGATGTTTAATAATGTTTAGTATATTTTTATTTATTTTTTCATTTTTTTGAATTTGGGAAATCAAATTATCCAATGGAAATAAAACTGTTACTTTACAGTATGTCATCAAATTTAGAATGATAACTATGAATGCCCAAGTTATGATTAATGCCTCTATTAGTTCATTCGAATTTGATGTTATCTCATTTGGTCAAGAAGTGTATACAGTTGTCTTTATACTTAAGAGAAATTAAGTACATTGGACAACGTCATTCGCCCTCTTTGTTTTTTTAATTACTTTTTTTTAATCTATTTTCCCCCTCAATTTTTTCTGCCATGCCCTTTCATTTGGTTTTTTTATTTTCCTACTGGTTTTCATTTGAAAGGAAAATATTGCATTTGTATGAATTCTATATCGCTGCTCAGGTCTATGATTTTTTTCCCCTTGCTCATGCATTATTTTCTTTTCACTTCATATTGATATTAACTTTCTGTTTAGAAATGCCTCTGTTTTTCTTTCACTTGCTGAAAATGTCTTTGCCAAAATTTTCAGACATTTTCTTTGTTTCTTCTTATCTTCCTCTTTCTTTGTCCAATTATAAAGCAGTTCTTCATTTTTGTTTCTGTAAAGACCTTTTCTTTGTCCAATGATGTCTAACCCAACTCTTTCTAATTTAAATGCACTCATTTTATCACACATTGTATATGATAAAGCAGTGAAAAACAGTCTCTTTGTCAAATTAATCACAGCAGATTATTACATCATCGTCGTAATGATTATATACCTTCTTTGATATTTTAATTTCTACATTCCCGACTCTGTCTAATTAGTATCGCTGAGATATATTTGATATATGATGGAAGTTCGAAAAATGGGTTGGTTTGAATGCACTCATTTTTAGTCTTATTGCATCTAATAGAACAGATGAAAATAGAGGGAATCAAAAATTTCATTTGCACCTTTAGGATCACAAATGAACTCTATCTCAATTTTACTTATATGTCCGCACTAACAACTCTTTTTTTTTTCAAAATTTGTAGGAACTAGCTGAAACCGTAAACCTCAACATAATGAAGATGAAGATGAGCTAGAAACAGTGAAGTAGGAAAATCTAGATTCTGTAACATGTTCATAGTCTATCTAAATATTTCGAATAATGAGCATTTAATCTTTTGATCATTGTAATGTGTTGCTCATTTACCTTCTCAAACACTAGACATGTAAATATTGATTTATTCAAAACTTACTTATATATTAATAGTATTGTCTTGAACGGTGTTCTTAAAACTTGCAGTATGCTTGTTTCTTGACATAAATGTACAAGTGTCGGTTTGTGAATTAGCCGACAAAAACTTGGGCGTTTATGGAGTTCAAATTTCAATGAGGATGCGTGGAGGCAGCAGAGTTTCCATGGCCTTGGGAAGAAAGGGGAGGGAGATGGGTGGTGGAGGTATATGCGTCTGTTCTTGTTGGTGAAAGAGAAGATGGAAGGGGGTGCTTAGGATTGTCTGTACTTCGGATTCAAATGTTTTAGCCGTTAAATTTTTGTTTGAAAAATACAAAAATAAAGATTTAACAGTTAAAACGTTTGGAGTACCAAAAATTTTTGGTTGCTTATTAATTCATCTGGGCGTGTTGCGTAAATGGACGTGTTGCAAGTTGTCTAGAGTGTATCGACTTCTTCTCTCTCTCCTTTTCTTTTCATTTGGGCATGTTGTACCCTTTCTTGTGCTTGCTGGCCCTGTTCGGCTTTTCAATACGATCACTTTGGACAACAACAAAAATCTGTGGGAAGCTGGTATAAATAGGTACCGAAATTTTACGATGTCACATGTTTTACAATTTTATGTTGTAGTTTTTTTTTCACATTTTTTACTAACAGTTCAAGCGTAACCTCTATAAAGCATTAGAAAGTACTTTTACGAATCATAAGCACTTTACAAAATATTTTTCGAAGTCAGAACAAGTCACCTTAGACCGAGATTTGGTATTGGATTGGACTGATTTACATCGGCTTGGCACCTGTATATGTCTAAAGGTTGGATTTTAAATCCCACTAATTTTGGATTTAAACCCACCAAAAAACAGACATGAATCATGTCCAATTTAATCAGGCTTATCTTATCCAATCCGGTCTACTGAAACAAGGCCTAGGCTACGGCACTTCTATAGTCGCATTTTGGGTTCATACAAGTGCTTTTAGAAGTTTTGACATTGCTTTTAAAATGATAAAAGCAGCTTATAATAGCAAAAACATTTCTGATTGTTTATGAGTTATGGTAAAAAAACTTAACGTATTTTGGCTCAAATAAGTGGTTTTTGGAGAAGATTTTCAATAAAATTTTCAATGTTTGTAGAAAAGAAGAATCCTGAATAGAATGTTAGAACTTTAAAAGCATGTCCTACAATGCATACAATCTATGTAGATGATGATTATTATATTGGAGGACCTCTTGATCACTACCACCTTTCTAATGGTTTTTGTTTCCGGAAACTACTCTAATCGACCACTATTTTCTCAAAGTGCATGAAATACCACTATCGCAGTGGAAACTATTCTAATCTACCACCAACAATGGCTCTCTCTCCGTCGAGATGTCAAATCCACCAACACTGGCGGTGCCAAGTACAAGGTTTTCCTATAGCATAGCGAGAGTTTTCATTCATTGTGCTTAAAAATATTAATTTTTGGCTATTTTACGATTTTTAATTATCATATTCCACTTAGCAAATGAAAATTTTGAATCTTAAGGTGCTTTTAAGGAAAATAAGAGCTAACAAATTTTAAATAAACTCATCACTTTAACCAATATTATAATTTAAATAGTAATAAATTAAAACTTCCATGACACACAAATGGTTTCTTATTTTATTCACTTAAAAATTTTGAAGGCTAGAAGCCTAGAAAACATAGTATAAATTTCTTGCTTCAAATTATTACTTTCAAGTTTACTATTATATAACATTATATAGGCAACAAAAGATTAAAAATTTGAGTTCGTAGAAATAATTTTAGCTTAATCCACTCACAGAATAATTTCTGGCTACGTCATTGCTAACTAAGACTAAAATACATCAGCTTTTCTCTAATGAAGATGCCATAATTGACATGGCAACTAGGTCATTTGGCTCATTGTTTTATAGCAGTCTTTTTTAACAACAAACAAAGATGGAGTCAGTTTTATTATTTAATGTGGGTGTCCGATCATTCACAAATAGGTTACAACTTTTATCTATTTTAAATTATTATTATTATTTTCTTAACAGCGGTTGTAGCAAAGAGATTTTTTGAATGTAACCATCACACGAATTAGTATACCATGTGTCCTTATATAAATGGTGGGTTATGTATGTTAAAAGGTTAATAACTTAAAAATTAAAAAATTTCACTATTTGCATGAAAACACGTGATATACCATCCGTGTTACCGTCACAACTAAAAATTTATTCTTATAGTGGGACCAATATATAATAAAACAATAATTTAACACTCCAAAATGCTGACTTCAGCCTTCAAATAAAATTTTGACATTTCAATTAGAGATGCTCTGTAAACTAAATGATGTGTCACAATAAGAAATAAATATGTTAATCAACACACTTAAGTAATAATCCAATAATCAACTTTTATGTCATTTAATTTATAAAATTTAGTATCCCTAACATTAATTACCCAAGTGAATTTCACAGACTCCTTTCTACTTTATACACATTTTTGTTAATTTTTTTCTATTGATATTCCTCAATTCATTCGAATTGATGATTGAAAAGTAAAAGAGATGTGTGAAAAATAAAAATAGATGTGTGTGGGTCCATCCTTTCTCAAAAATATAATCTCTAGTTCAACCACGTGATAGAAGGTGAACCTTTATAAACTCCAATAAAACCTAACCATACAATTCACATGATAAAAGCAAATCACACAATTCACATGATAGGAGCTGGCCCTTTGTAAATACCAATAAAAACTAAGGAACTAATCACACAATTCACAGGTCCCAACCCCGACCGATGAGAGGCGCGCACCTCCCGTACTCAATTTCTGCTTCCGCACCTGACTTGCTTTTGCCTACATAAAAGATTCAGTTGGTCCAAAAACTATTCAAAAAATGGAAGAACTTACATCCTTTTGTTGTTCACCCACTTCCTCACCCACATTTCAACGTCGTGTGCAGTTCATAGTTCAGAACAGGCCTGAATGCTGGCTCTATGCAATTTTCTGGCAAGCCTCCAAAGACAGCATCAGTGACCAAGTTGCGTTATCATGGGCTGGTGGCCATTTAAAACAACCCTAGGGTTCGCGTGCCATCCAACAGAAGCAACAGAGTGATCACCAATAACTACCAACCCAAATTAGGGTTCAGCAATATGGAGAAAAAGAAGACGGCGATAATTAGCAAGAGAGATGAAGACGTGGTGGACTTGGACATGCGGCTGCTGGCCGACAATCATGACGGCACTGGCGATGCTACTCATGACTCCGACCGGTTTTACTTTTACGGCGTTTCGTTAACCCAATCTTTTGCTGCAGGCCAAGCGAGTAAAAATATTCTGGGACGTGCATTTTGTTCTGGTGGTTTTGTTTGGCTTGCAGGTGGCCATGAGCTTCAGTTGTACGAGTGTGAGAGAGTGAAGGAAGCAAGAATGCATGGGATTCAAACTTTGGTTTGTATTACTACTTCATGTGGGGTACTTGAACTGGCTTCTTTGGATGTAATCATGCAAGATTGGGGTCTCGTGCACCTATCAAAATCACTCTTTGGATCCGACCAGAAGAACAACAAATTTAAATTACTAGTTCCTGATCCCCTAGAAAAGATTGGATTTCTTTCAGGAGGTCAAAAAGAATTCACCATACAAGGTAATAACCACCAATTATTTACATAGATTTCGGGTGCGCCTCTCTAAAAATATGTCATTATGCACTTTTTTTTTAATTAAATTTTTCTTTGTGATTTTATAACTTTGTAAATGCATGATGACATTTTTGAGTGTTAATAATAATTCTTTTAAATTATATTAAATTAAAAAGTGTGGTTTTTTACTTGGTACCAAAGGCTAGCCAGCTGGTCGACAATATGTAATTTAAGTATCGATGTTTATTAATGATATGAACGACATTTTTTATAATTGATAAAGTGTCGATTTGTTGATAAATTGAATAGTCGGACATGCAACATGGTTAGAATCTAAGAAGAATATTCGCAATGATATGGTCAACTAGTTATTTGTACCGAATAATCTTTTCTGTATTGATAAAATTTATCAGTAGGAAATTAGATTGTCATCTTTAAATAAAAGCATTATTATTACTACTGTTATTTACTTTGGTTGTGGTAAGTCTTTGTTCTTGAAACCTTAAACCCTAAACATTCACAGGATTCTTTATTCAAACCCTAATTTTTTTGTTAACACCAATATTTTATTATTTTTTTACCAGAAGGTGGTGCAAATGAACCCATTATCCATACAGACGGGTCATCAACAGGCTCATCTTATGACTCTTTTGGCAATTTCACCCCTGCGAATACAGAGAACCCTCAATCAAAAAAGAGGGGAAGATCATCATCTTCAAACCATGGAGCTACAAGTAGAGAATCACAACTACTGAACCATGTTGAGGCAGAAAAACAAAGGAGGGATAAGCTCAACCATCGAATATGTCTCCTTCGTTCTATTGTTCCCAACGTGTCGGAAATGGACAGGTCCTCTTTGCTCGCTGATGCCGTGGCGTACATGAACCAGCTCAAAGGTAAGGTTGACGAACTGGAGGCCAAAATCCAAGCACAACCACCACAAAAAACCCCTACTCACTAGCCAAAGCACCAGATCCATAACTGATGAACATCATCAATGTTCAAGTTGTAGTAATAATTATAGTAACAACAACAACCACAACAATAATAATGATAATTTAAATTTGAATAATAATAACGATAAGGTTAGAGGAACTAATGTTTTGGAAGTGGATGTGAAGATTGTGGGATCAAATCAAGCCATGATTCGAGTTCAGTGTCCGGATCAAGACTACCCTTATGCTAGATTGATGAATGCACTCAAAGGACTTGAGTTACAAGTTTACCATGCGAGCATATCAAGTGTCAAAAAGTCAATGATTCAAGATGTTGTGGTAGGACTGCCTTATGGCTTCACTAGCGAGGAGGCCTTGAGACTTGGTATTATAAAAAGATGGTACAACTAGAAGAGATTTTGTGTGATGAGAACACGACTCTGCACGTATTAAGTGTAATAATACAATTGGTTGAAAACTTTAAAAAAAAAAATTCAACCAATTGTATCTTAATGTGCCTGATCATGTTCCCGCAGATTGAAAAACTTCTCTACAACTAGATCTCGATATTTCAATTCAAAAGCGTAGGTAATTAATGAGGATAATGTTTTCTCCATTGAGTATCCCACTCCACTTCTTTTGTAGTGTTTGTTGTAGCTTTTCTTATTTACTCTTAAACTCAGGTACATAGTCGAGCATAATCCGCTCTAACTAACATATGATATCGTCAACCTTTTTTAGCTTATTTAAACTTGGTGCAAGTTGTTTATTTAGTGAGATTTAATATGTTATACTAGTTGAAGTACCTTAACTTTCTATTTATTTAATATGTAGTGTGCCCCACCAAATTATGACTGTAAGCGCCCACCACCATCGTTGTCACTTTCCCCATAAGGTTCTGTTATACAAAAACATATTTTTGTAACTTGTAATACCGTCAAGAGCCCTTGCATGTCAAGGAACAAACAAATCTTGGCCCTCGTCGCCATTCACACAGAATCACCGATCACGCGACAGCACCTTTTGTTCAACATGCACAGACTCCACGTGCCGCATATCCAATCTCCACAACTCGCCACGTACATCTAAGAGTCGGTTAATCTGAAACTGAAACTAATGAAATCAAACGCATCAAAACGAACCAGTTAATTCAATCAATAACCAAAAAAAAAAAAAAAAAAAAAAACAAAAACAGAAGATGGCGTCGGCGTTGAAGATGAACACAGTGTTTGCCTACACGGTGGTGTACGTGAAGGACGTGGCTCTATCCACCCGCCTTCTACTCCAAAGCCTTTGGCTACAATATTCGTCGCTTGGACGGCTATAACAGGTGCAAAAATAGTTAGGGAATGAATTTGCACACTCATTTTTTTCTCGTTTCAATTATTTGTTATTTACTTATTAATGAGTTATTTCTGAATATGCGTGGAGTTACGGATTGATATTTTTATCTGGTCCTAGTTAATAATGTTCATTGACTTAAACCATATTAGTTTTTAGATTTTGATCCCAAATCTCTAGCATTAATGTAATAATGAATTTAAATGTCAGTTACATAATTTTTTAAAAATAAAAATTAAATAATTGATTTAGAATTTAATACTCACACCTTTATTAAACTCCTAACTAATTTTCAATTCAAAATATTTCCAAAATAAAGTAAAAATTAGAATAAGTTTGTACCCATTAGCTTAAAAAAAAATGTTTTCAATTTTTTAATCTTATATGTACCACGTAATTTTTTCAAAATTTTAATCTTAAAATGTAATGTTTCTTCAATATACAAATTTGTTATATGTAAAATGTACCATTTTTTTATATAAAATCTATTTAAATTTTTTAAAATTCATTTTTAAACTTATATGGGTACATTCTTTTTTCTCTGATTTGAGAATGTATCCATGTCAAGTTTAAACGAAGAAATTTATTAATGTTATTAAGCCTAATATTTTTTTTTTAAAATTTTGAAGAATGTACCCAGGTTTATATACACACACAATAGTATATTTATATTTTAATATTTTTAATCCCACAAATTATGGGTTTTTATTTAAAATCTCATTAATATAAACAATTATAAATTTTAATTTTCAATTTAAAAAAAAGTAATATACATAGAAATAAATTATCACATTAATTTCAACGCCTTCGATCAAAAATTGAAAACCAATGTTTCAGTTAAAGAATATTTATAGCTACCGACCACATCCAAAGTCTTCCTATTTTTTATTTATTCCTTTTTATTGTTTAAATTGGGTTTGAGCAGAGGGCGGTGGAGAATGGGGCGGTGCCGGTGAGCCAGCCGGAAGAGAGAAAGTGGGGTACGTAAGAGATCTTGATGGGATCGTGGTGAGGTTGGGAAGCTATGTCAATCCACCAAAAAAGCAGTGATCCTGTTACTGAGATAATCATGAATAAATGAATCTGTAATATGTTTTTTTCCCAGTTTTATGTTCGAAATTTTAGATAAACGAATCGTGTGTTTACTTCCAACTGGTAGCTTGCTTGCTTACCGGGTATATGTTCATCGTTCATTATGCGGTCAGTTTTCGTTAGATACTATTTATATTTAATTTAAATTTTAAAATTTAAAATGATTTCTAATCGCACGATATACGATGAACAACACACGATTGATTGATCATCCGGATCATCATAAAAAAGATCCGGAGGGGATCCTATTCCATTATATGCATCATGTATGTCATTTCCCAGTTGAGTCCGAAAACTTATTTGCTAAGGCCTCCATCCATATAGACTGTCCTAATTTAAAGAATGAATTTGGCCCGAAAACTTATTTGAGTCTAAAAATTCTAATTCGAGATTATTAAAGAAAATTTATTTGAGTAAAAAAAATTAGCCTAAGATTATTAAATAATGAATTTGAGATAATTTTTTTTTTCTTAAAATAACTTTTAAAAAGAAAAATTATGTAGACTATTCTAATTTAATTTTTATAATTATTTTAACTAAAAATATTTAAATTTCGATAAATATTGAAAAATCACTAAATCGATACAAATGAAACTAGTAGAACACTATGAAAGAATATAGAACACATGAAAGGTTTTTTATTTTTTTAATTGTTTTAGTTATTAGATTTAAATTTGGACCGTTTAATCTTTTTTATATCATTGAATTTAATCATATAAGATCTTCGCTATTAGATTCAATGAGTTTATAAATATAGAACTAAAAAAAATATAAATATATGGTGGGTCAATTCACTAACTTAAAAGGAAATCCTGATCTAAATTTGATCCAAAAAATGAGTTTTGAACTAAAAATTCATATTTAGCCCGAAGATTGGAGCAAGTCAAAGTAGATTTAGATTTAGAACCTCAAGCCAAAAGGCTAAATTTTTACTACTCCAAGAGTTGAAAGCATGTCTCAGTAACACTGTTAAATTTTCAACGACAGGACTAAAAACCAAAATTGTTGATTGGAAGATATGAACCGTTGCCATAATTTATTGCAATTGTCAAAATATTTAATTATCGGCCAAAAGCTTCAGTACAACATATCCGTACATAGTAGAACATCCATTTGCATGGACATCCACCATTTTTATACATGTGAGTCCACGTGAAATGCACGCAAACGGCCAAGAACCTAGTGATTTTGTTTGTGAAATACGAGTTAAACCAGAACGATGATATTTTTGGAGCCAAATTCGCGAAAATCATGGTCCCACAATGTCGACTATAAATTGAAAACGACATGAAGCTCGAATCCAATCCATCAAGCAAAACCAAATGAAAGGTAAGCAAGGTACCAGATAATTGAATACAGAGATGTTCCATGTTTTAACAATTACTAGACGATGAGAAGAAAAAGAAAGAAGAAGAAGAAGAAACCAACAGAAAAAACCAAAAAAGCAGAAAAAAAAACAGCAAAAAGAAATAAAGATATTTTGGGTGAGAAAATCAATGACATTCTACAAGGGGCAAACGCTTTTGCCAATTCCACACCTCCTCTCACGCACTTGTGCAGAGAAAATGTTCAACTTGGTAGCAAACATCATATTTGATATTTCATAGCATCTCCTGTGATTTCCTCACGCAGCGGCTGACCTTTTTCTTGAATTCCTCTCTCCGATCTCTCCACTGTTTCTGCAATATTCACATCTCCAAATATTCAGACAACCACAACAATTATGTGCCTTAGTCGCTGCTTAGTCAGTCACAACAAGTTCATTATATCAATATATCAGATACCAAACTATGTGCAAAAGAAAAGAAACGAAAATGGTACACACATTATCAACTAGCAGAAAAAAAAAAACTAGCTTCAACAAAAATTGCCACAAACACAATCAGCCATATATTAGTCTCGCGCGGCAGCAGCAGCTCAAAATATGTTCCAATGTGCTATGTTACTATGTATAAAGCAGTCCACAAATCGGAACATTGGGTGTCTACATTTACCTAACTTGTCTTGCGGGACCAAGTGAACTTATAAAGAATGTCATCCAACAATATAATTACGTTAATCTCTACCATATGAAAAACTCGTGCAATTGAGATATATTGCTTCTCAATATAACTTTAGCTGTCAATGCGGAGCATGTTTATAACATTCAGCATCAAGTAGAGTAGTTCAGAAAACTAAATGAGTTGTGACAACAAAATAAAGGATCACTTACTGCAGCTTCAACATTTGCAGGAGATTCATCATTTGGGCTGGATAGCATTGATATTATACTCAAGACTATGCTTTCAACCTGGAAACAACATTTCCACATTTGTAAATGCAGTACCATGGTTTTAATAAAAATAAAGCAAAACGTATCCATTGAGAAAATGCTTCTTACACCTACTTTTTGCTTCAGAAATACCTTAGATTACCAAGTTCTTTCACAAAAATTATAACGGAGAAAAACCACAAGTTTTAACCAGCAGGAAGGAAATATGAGAACTTGCCAAATGACAGCAGGATATGATACCACTGAGACAAGCTCCTCCGGACTCGAGATCCAGTGGAAGAGCCCCAAGGTCAGACATCAAAGCCGTATTATTGAACCTTA